CAATTTTTTGACCAAAAAGTTCAATTTGGGCGAAAGTATAAACAAGTCAAACTAACCTCCTAACATAGGAAGAATCAGACAAGCTAAACTACAAATCATACTCTCTCCACTCCGTTTTTTTCCCCACAAACATTACAAGAAAGAAACTTGTTTCCACCAAACCCTTTTTCCCATGCAGACTGCTGTTTACCTGCCTTGTTTCCCCATCAGCTTTTACTTAAACCGCAGCCATGCCGGACATTTGGCAGGATCTCACACCATCAACCTGAAACTTCTTAGTGCTGGCTGGTGAACAGTATCTGCTGGCAGGCGACAGGTCTCCAAGTTATTTCAACGATAGCACTTCAAGGGCTTTTGCTCCATCTGTTGTGGTGAATTGATACTCTATCCCTAAGGTGCCAGAAATAGAAACACTTTATCTACTGCTAGAGTTCCCATCATCCTTTAACTCCCTTAGCAAACACAATTATCATCTCAAAGCAGAAGAGACTGTAGCACGACTGGATCAGGTTCACACATTTAACAGAAGCCCCTCGTTTTATTTCTATTAACTATGAAGGTCCTTGCAAATTATTTTCCCCTTTACACAGTACATGGACAGAATTAAAGCTGCAGAGGTTCCAGTATCAGCTTAAATTCTCCAATGCGGATAAATTTTAGACTCACAGCAGGACAGTTAAAATAAACATGGAGGAAAAAAGGACTAATCAAACACTTAGCTAGCTCTTCTAGAGCTTGAACTTCCAACTGCCTTCAATACTTGTGTATTTCACAGGTTTCTGTTGCTTACAGGAGCAAACCAACTTTATTTTCCAAGCTGGCAACAGTCCATGCACGACTGGGATGCCCTCTGTGGGGCATGCACTTGGTCAAGGGAAGTTGGAGAGAAAGTTTTTCCCTATTTTTTTCCCCTATCAACCACGGTTGAAAACAGCAAATAATTTGTAAGGACTGTTGACATTTTAATTTTTACGCACACCTGATTTTTTTCTATAGCCACTCCAAACTGAAAGCTTCATCCTCTCTTGCTGGGGTGGGGGCTGTCTCATGACAAGTTCCCAAAACAGTGCAGCATACGCAGTCACCAAGCAGATGAGGAGCATTGCTACTGTTTTTTTCCTTCATTATTGTCCAATTTCCATGCATAAGCAGCAAGGAAATCCACTGGACCAGTAACAGAACTCAGTCTCTAAATGCTGACCATGTTTCAGATGAGCAAAGAACCGAGGAGAGAGTAACCCAGGCTCCACGGCTGCTCAATGAGAATATACACCAGACCAGCCTCAACAACGCTTCTTAGCTCTAGCTCTGGCTTCTGTTTCTCAAAACACGGATATCTGCTTACTGAGATCCCCAAATAAGCAGTTCTTAGCACTCCTTAGCTTGCAGTCTTTCCAAGTTGAGGCTAGGTTTAAAGTAGCGCCACAGAGGATATAACTCGTATTCCATTATCAATGTCGGGCGTTCCTACGGCACCTTCTGTCCAAAAGTCTCCCAGATCTTTCCTAGGGAGCCAAGCCAAGTAGTACTTCTCTGAAACGAACATGACTAGGAAGAGGTCTCTGTTTTTTGAACAGCTATAGTCATACTCTGGTCATCCCAGAGGAAGTCTAACAGCTGAGACTACCAGTTATTTGGGATCGTTGCTTCGCCCTGCACTAGAGCTCAAACAAATGTGACTAGATAAATAAAACATGTCCTGTTTGACTCTGTCCAGATGTGGCATGTACGTTACATCCTCTTGTAGAAACACTCCACATTAAAACAGCACGGGCTGAGATAATAAAGCCACTGCAGACTTAGAGTGATGATTTTGAAAGGTGCACATGCACAGTAGAGTCAGCACCTCTGCAACCTCCTTTTTTTTTTTTTCCTTAAGATCTGGGAGTTTAGGATGATGACCTCCAATTCATCTTGAGCTTCACAGATCTAGATAAATTGTCTCAACAAGCCTGTGATTTTCCTAGGATTAGAGTATAACTTTAGAACGGCGAAAGAAGAGCATGCTGTGTGCGTGCACAACTACTTTAGCAACAGCCCGCTGAAGTTAAACTGACTACAGGCTAACACCCTTCTTTTCCTAGATTTTTAAAGATAAAGAAAAATAAACATTAATTGTAACTATTCGGAACCAAATAAATTCAAATTTGAAAACACGAATGTTTATACGTGCCTCTCTCTTCCTGTTTTCAGTGGGTTGCAGAAAAGCTCTGGACAGTACCACAGTAGCGGCTCATGAATCCGAAATCTACTGCAAAACTTGTTACGGGAGAAAATATGGTCCCAAAGGTATTGGCTTCGGACAAGGAGCAGGATGTCTCAGCACTGACACTGGTGACCATCTGGGCTTGAACCTGCAACAGTGAGTTAAATCCCACTGACAGCACCTTTTTCTAGTACTACTCGTCACTTAGCGGGATATTTTAGATGTTTTATCCTGTTTCCATAACAACATCCAGCATAAGTAGCAGAGCAGACTTTCCTATGACCTTTCCTTCAGTGGACACTGTAATTTACCAGTTTTTAATGACATTCAGGCTCTTTAAGCCTTCTTCATACAGCATCTCCTCCTTCAATGGGCAATTATTCTGCAGAAGCAGCCTTTATATGCCACCACAGACGTAAATATTCTCTGCGACTGTAATTTGCCATTAGTAGCACAGTGGTAAAGTCACATTCACCACAGAATGTGAGAATTATTTTTTTCCCTGTCAGAGACTAAAATACAGTTAAGTTTTACTGTTAGAGAAATAATCACGCTACCACATACTGTTAACTCTCCTCTCAAGGCAGGAAATAACATTTCTAAATCCTCCCTGTGGCTCGAATAACTCTCGCAAACACACCGAGAATATGTTTGAACAAAGGAATTCTAATGGGATACCATCTTCCAAAAGCACGTAATTATCTGTGACAGTACATTTTTATAGTATTCTTCTACGATTCTCAAAGCTGCACATTTCCAAATCGACAATGCTTTCTTCTGGTATAACTATAAGGAAACGAATTAACCAATATGCTGGGCAGGAAATAAAAGCTTAAATAATGTATTTAACTGTAACTCCTTGTAAGATATAAACCCATTGCGGGCAGAGGTCTGTATCAAAAACTGTCACGTCCTGTAGATTTAATGACCAGTTGCAGACCAACAATCCAGTAATTCAAAAGTCGTGCTGTGAGAGGCTCTAAGCTAGCACAAAGACATAAAGCACAAAGTCCAGAAATACAAAGCAAAGCTACTTTTCCGATGTACTTTTGACCCAGGGCCAGCGAGGAACCCCAGTTCCCTATCCAAACAATACAGTGACTAAGGAAACAACAGCATGCAAAACCTAGTTTTTATTTTCCACTCACTGAGTACCAGCAGATAGCCAGTTACAGAGAACAGAGAAGTCTTTCGCTTTTATTTTCCCCTCTTGCCTCACAATAAAACAGAAAGCTTTTTTACTTTCACTTTTCATTAAATATAACCTTTTCTGCATGTGGCTGCTGTCGGCACTATGTACTCAGCCCAAAACAGGTACCAGCAGTTACAGCACCAGCTTTTCAATTACACAAACACGAAGTTCAATAGAATACCTGCATTTTCTCTTTCCCCCACTGCCTTTTGCATAAGACTAAATAATTTGGTATTTTTTATCCCTTACCAAAAAATCATGCAATCGTATTTCTAGAATGAAGATAACATTTTAAGCAGTGTTTTAAAACGCTGAAAACTTCTGTTTTAGGGGGTCACCAAAGTCTGCTCGCCCTTCTACACCAACTAATCCTTCAAAGTTTGCCAAAAAGATAGTAGATGTGGATAAATGTCCCCGCTGTGGCAAGTCAGTGTATGCTGCAGAGAAGATCATGGGAGGAGGAAAAGTAAGTAGTCACTACAGCACTAGAAATAAAACACTCTTATAGTGGTGATAAACTACAGCCAACAGGTCCTTCATCTTTTAAATACTTACTCATAGTCTTGATGAAGAAAACACACGGAGAATTACCAATTTGCTAGGGAGTCCAATGTACTTTCAGGTTTAAAACCATACGCTTTTCATAAGCCACCTTCAACTTTTTGCATCTTGTTGATGTCTGAAGAACAACTCCTGGCTACTGTACAGGCTGGCTCTTCTACTACTGTTATTCTACTACTATCTCTGGGGATATTTATAATATAAATATCTATTTGTAGTACTAATTGCAGATATACTAAAGAGGTCCTGTGACTAGAAAAACAAAAGGCTGTCTCACATGGCACGCTAGCTCTCAGCTCTAGGAACTCTCACTAGAATATGACCTCTGCACATCAAAGAAATGGCTAAAACAAGAGTAATATCTATAGCTCCCTGCTTTTTACTAGACCTCCATTAATAACAAAGTCACTAGGTAAGATCTTATCATAGAATGGTTTGGTTGGAAGGGACCTTAAAGGTCATCTAGTTCAACCCCCCTGCCATGGGCAGGGACACCTTCCACTAGATCAGGTTGCTCAAAGCCTCATCCAACCTGGCCTTGAATACTGCCAGGGATGGGGCACCCACAGCTTCTTGATATAGGATAATAAAGTAATTGAAAAAGACTAACCTGGAATGATTAAAAATGGAAGCTATAAGATCAACAAAACAATTTTAACGTTTTCACGTCATAAAAAGTAATAGTTCTTTGTTTCCTGTATTTGCTAGCTGTGCAATTTCCGTAATATACAATGAATTGTCTTAATTTCCTCAGCCTTGGCATAAGACGTGCTTCCGCTGTGCTATTTGTGGAAAGAGTTTAGAATCTACAAATGTTACAGACAAAGATGGAGAGCTCTACTGCAAAGGTAAGAATTGTAATGAGCTGAACTGGGTTATTAAATCAATCTAAAAATTAGTCTTTTTAGACCTAGTATTGCCGTTACGATTTACCTTGTTGCATGCTTAACAACTTCCAAGAAATTGAATTTTATCTTTTTTTAACAGCTTTCTGAAGGCAAAGGAAAGAGCCATGGTAACACTGCAGTTGCATCTTCTAATATTAACATTTAAATTTTAAAGCTGTAATTTTTCTACAAATATGATATCCTCTCAGATCTGTTCTCAGACCTTCTAACAGGAACACTGGCCACATCCACTGGGCAGACTCTTGTACCTCTACAATCTCACTCAATAAAAAAAAAAAAAAGGGAAAAAAAATCCGCAAAGATACAGATCTTCAAAGGTCATCCATTTAAGGTCACAGTTCTAATTTGAATTCTTGCCAGTAACAGTTAAAAGATACTTCCACTATATTGGGAGCACCGAAGGTAACACATTAATGCCAAATTATACATCCAAATGCTCCTCTCAGATCAAGAAAGTTCATAGACTTCACTTGACTCTTAGAAATAGCTTAAGGGGAAAACAGGAAAAGTTTTTATACCCGAGGCTAAACTTTATAGACAATCCTAGAGAAGAATACTTAAGTTCTGTGACTTTGGGTACAGTCTGACAACTGTCAGTGATCAAATTAGCATATTTGGAGAAATATGATGACCGTTACTATTTCCTTAGCAGAGTTGTGATAAATAACTATGTACACACTTAGCAATACAGAGTTAAAATGGAATGGTTTAAACTACAATCAATAGTTTCTGGACTATGCTCTAGTTCTTTTAACCACCTTCGAAAAATCTCTGACTTACTACTCAGTCTGTATTACTCATACAGACCAAGTTTTACTGAGTATTTTCAGACAGGCAAGTAGCTTTAATGAAAATGTTACTAAGATCTTAAATACATACAGTTTCTTAATTTTTTTTTTTTTTGAGAAGATCAGATGTGACTTTTGTTTAAATTCAAACACGTGATTCCAGTTTCATTATTAGAACTTGTCAATGCTTCTGAGAAAGACGTTATCTCAGGTTTCCTTCCATTTATTAACTGAAGTTTGGAAGCAGTACTAAAATCAAAAGTCATTTACCTCTATATGAAAACACATCTCCCTGCTTCTTTTGCAGTTTGCTATGCAAAAAATTTTGGTCCCAAAGGAATTGGGTTTGGTGGCCTCACTCAAGTGGAAAAGAAAGAGTGCGAATGAGAAGAAATGGATGCAACAGACTCAAACTGCTGTTGATGACATCAAGTGACAGTTGTCAAGTAAAACATTAAACATCGCATACTGTTAAGAACCTAGGGCATTTGTTTATTTTCCACCTTGTAGGAAAAAGTTCTGAGCTTGTATCTTAAGAAATTCTTAGAATAGCTTAAAATAGTACAGTGATAGAAATAGAACTAGATTCATGTTTGTTTTACAGTAAATAAAGACAAAAAACCTCATGGAACATTATTCATGGAACATTATTGCTTCTTAAACTAGTATTTACCACACTTGAGACTGGAATTTTAAAGACTCAGCATACTGTCCCGTTAAGATAGAGATACCTTAGGGAGTGCAAGGGTCAGAGTGTTCTAATTTAGGCTGTATTTTCCTTTGTTCAGAATGTTACGCCGTCTGTATTTCTACCAATCTTCTAGTGGTGTTTTGAACATGTTGACATCATTTCTGTAACAGCAAAGTAGATGCTACTCACTTTGAGACAATAAAAAAATTGGAATTCTTTCTCTCAAAGGGAGATATGTCTGAAAAAAACAACTTTTTCTTAGAATACAGTGCTGAAAGTTTTGTTATTGTATGTTTTCAAGCTACAATAAAGTACTGATATTGCTTCACATTATCTTTACTTGAATTTCACTGAGATGAACGAAATCCCCCATTTTTGAACTACAAGAACAGTGTTTCATTACAGTACTTTGCTCTTATGGTGTCAGTTCTAGATGGTATTTAATTTTCTGTTCTTGATCTGTTTCCCTGCTGGTTTTAATTATTACCTACTTCAACTTATATTGAAAACCACACTGCCCAGCTGGCCACTCCAAACTGACGTTGTAGCCTTTTCTTAGGAACATGGCTGACAGCTGAGAATAACTCCCTCTTCTTATATACGTTGCTATTTTCTATCAGCAGCGTACCCATTTTCATACACTGACAGGGCATATATACATGCAAAGCTAAGACAAAGAGTCAGTCTTTTTCTTACCTGTTCTTAAATACCTCACTGGCCACATATCCCTTGAATCTATTTCAGTTTGTAAAAATACACTTAGAAGCATGAAAGCTCTATTTTATTGCATGTAAGCCCTCTAAATACAAAGACTTAATAGAGGTTTTCACAACATAAGCAATGAAATTACAGAGTAATATTAATATTAAATTTTTAAATATGAGCATTCCCCTTAATTTTCAAATGTAATTTTCTTTTATTATCTGCAAAATAAAGCAAAGGGTACCAACATGGCTTTGAAATTCTGCCCTAAAAACTTATCTTTAAAAAAATATATTCTATCACATAAAAATTTCAAAGTTTCAGCTCAAACTATATATACACCGACATATAGTGATTGTTCCATATACAATCTTGCTGTAGCTTATGCAAGATAGGTTTAATATTTGAAACAATAACAAAAATAAAAACAAGCAACTTCAGAAGAATTTGTAAAAATTAACAAAATAACAATTTTTTATTTAGCTTTCAGCTGAACGGTTTTAGAAATTAAGCAAAGCTTCATACAGAATGAACATTTTTCTCCTTTGCCAGATGAAAAAGGTTGTATTGCTTGGTCCAGTCAACTACATTGGGTTTGCACATACCAAAGCAACCGCACTGAAAAAAGTCTGCAAGATTCTGGAAGCATCCAAGACTGAAAATGAGAGAAATATCCATTAATAAAACTAACAAAAGACAACTGCAGGCATCAAAAATACACATTCACCATGAGACAGTATTTAAGATACAAAGCTGTCAATAAGGACAGTTCTCTATTGGCCATTACCCCTTTGTTGAACTTCTACAACCTGCATTACATTTAACAGTGAGGGCAGACTAAGTTCAACTCAAATATTTAAAAGTTAGTACTTAGGAAGATCTCATCTGCCAACACATATGAAGAAATATGGACTTCTAGTGAAACAGGGAAACTTTGGTACTAATTTCTCCATTGAGCTAAATACTGCAAGAGAAGTCAGAAAGGGGCCAGTTCATACCTTAATTCTCTGTCTGAACCTACAGAACAGACACAGAGATTGATGACCAAATTAAAGGACAACCACCCTCATCCTCAAAATAGAATCTACTGATTAGAGCTATGGACCTATTTTGGTACATCTTTTCCTACATACACAGCCATGCAGAAAGAACACCAGTAGCTCTTATGCTGGCTGTTTGTTTCTTAGGGCAAAGGAAGTTCTCAGCAAGGAAAACAAGGTCCATTTCCTCCTCTTAGAACAACTCATAACGGGCATGACTAGCACATCCACAGGCCACCATTTTTTTTTTGAGTTTATGAAGCAGCGAGCAAACCAATACTGAAAAGCGTGGCCAGCAGGTCGAGGGAGGTGATTCTCCCCCTCTACTCTGCCCTCGTGAGACCTCATCTGGAGTATTGCGTCCAGTTCTGGAGTCCCCAACATAAGAAGGACATGGACCAGTTGGAGAGGGTCCAGAGGAGGGCCACGAAGATGATACGAGGGCTGGAGCACCTTTCCTATGAGGACAGGCTGAAAGAGTTGGGGCTGTTCAGCCTGGAGGAGGCTCTGGGGCGACCTTATAGCAGTCTTCCAGTACCTCAAGGGGGCCTACAAGAAAGATGAGGAGAGGCTGTTCAGGAGGGCCAGTTGTGATAGGACAAGGGGTAATGGTTTTAAAATAGAGGGAGGTAGATTCAGATTGGATATTAGGAAAAAATTTTTTACCATGAGAGTTGTAGAACACTGGAACAGGTTGCCCAGAGAGGTGGTGGATGCTCCATCCCTGGAGACGTTCAAGGCCAGGTTGGATGAGGCCCTGAGCAACCTGATCTAGTTGGAGATATCCCTGTTCCTTGCAGGGGAGTTGGACTAGATGACCTTTGAAGGTCCCTTCCAGCCCTAACCATTCTATGATTCTATGAAGATACTATTCATTTACACTCACTTGTATGGAGTTCTCCTGAGTGAAACAGGACGCTTAGAAGATTTTCTCTGCATCAAGAGGTTCATTCTCTCATGCGAGGTCAATCCCAAGAATGCAATCTTCCAGAAAGGAACGTGTAAGTAATGGTTAAAAACATGAACATGACAAATTAAAATTTTGGTGGTATCAAAAGACACTACCGAGAAGGGAGAGAGGGGAAGGAGGCTGGCCATATGTGGCAAATAAGTAACTACTGCCATAATTAATTTCTGAAAAGTATCTTTTTAAATGTCACTTGGACTAAAACAGAACCCAGCAAGCTGTAACATTAACGCTTCCACTGAGAAGGTAAGCTTAATTGGGATGACTGTAAGGACAGTTCTTTTACAGATGTCTGTAAAAGTTTAAGATCTACAGCAGTTAAGCACCTATCTCCTCAGATTTTATCTCTATTCTACCAAACAAATTGGTAGAAAAACATCCCGTGAAAAAGACAAAGTAGCTTAGCAAAAGAGGTGAAGCAGATGTCAGAGACTCGACAATAATTTTTTAATTTTCTTGATTCCATGTCTTCTTTCACTAAGTTCCACAATGAGATTTATGTGGGTTTTCTGCTTACCTATTCCTTTTTCCATTTTCTTATTTTTTTTAATCAACGTAAATCTTATAAGCCCTTATAAAGGGCTGCAAGGTTGCTTCACTGAATGACACGCTAAACATCAAAAAGCAGTACATTCACAAATGACTGTGTATGAAACACAGTAGTTAACTGTAATTACCCTACATAGAATTCTTTTTTCCCAGGACGGTATCTCAGTGTCTTTAACATTACAGAAATCTAGCAGCACACATTTAAAATTGTCTTTTTCTTCTTTTTTTTAAAACAAGATGTAAAGCATGTCTTTAGCTCAGTATGTTTAACACATATTTAAATGACACATCTTTTCAAAAAGCTGCTAAACAAGCTGTTTCTTAGATGTTTTAAGACAGCTCTTCTCGACCTTGTTTGCATAGCCAAGCTCTCTCTGAGGAAAACATAAAACAAGAAATTTGACAGTCTTCATCAGGATAAAATCCAGGTCATATATTTTTATTGTAGCACTGGGATTTAATACAGCCTAATGATGCACTGCTGAGTTCTGTCATAGAATTTTCAATTCAGGACCAACTGTGCTACTGAGCTTTTGTGTCGTTTTTTGGGCAGTAACACCAGTTCTATTAGTCAAATACGTTTCTTGCCTTTAAATACATCTTTCTATAGATTTGGCATTTTCGATGAGTAGGAAACGCAAAACACAGTTTTAGGAATGATTTGCAGACTGTGATCCTACTTTTAAGATGAGAAGTACCTGTGAAAATTAAAAGACTGCCCTGAGATTTAAGAAAAACACCTAGATGTGACTAGTAATTAGTCAAGGAAAGCAGGCATGAAGTTTGTATGTGAGCAAATCATCTAGGGAAAAGTTTTAATATGATGACTCTTTAAGAGAGGAGCATAAACTGAAGCAAAATAATACCTGATAAAGCTGAACAGTCAGCCACAACGAAGCCCATGCAGTATGTAAACAGGCTACTGCGAAGATGTAGGAAACCCAGGGAGAACAATGTATTATCAGTGTGAAGTACGTCCATGCTCCATCTTGATGATAACTTGTTGCGCAATGATTTGACCAATCTGATGAGATGCATAATCAGTTAATTATGTTTTTAATATAGGCCACGTAAGAACTGAACAAAGATTATTTGCATAGAATGAATATTACATAGCGATACGCTCTAGAAATACCATGTTTAATATATCATGTTCCCAATTAAAAGCACCCACATAGATATGCGACTGCTTGCTATCTTGCCTGCATAATCTTTATATTATGTGTTCATAATCCACA